AATGTTTTATTTTTGTGGAGTAGGAGATTTATTCTGCTCCTTGTCCTAACCTTGCTTGTTGAAGCTTCAGAGTATTGGTTGTTTCATTTTTTCTTGGGTTTTACATGGCACTCCTTCTGTTCACTTCTTCGCGGTTTGACTGGCACCGTGAATTTGTTTTAGATCCTGAAGGAAAGTATGAAGCTTTGGAAAAATATGGAAAAGATTTGACTGCAATGGCTAAGGAAGGAAAGCTTGACCCAGTGATAGGAAGGGATGATGAAATTCGCAGGTGCATCCAGATCCTCTCTAGGAGAACAAAGAACAATCCTGTGTTGATTGGTGAACCTGGTGTTGGAAAAACTGCAATCTCTGAAGGGTAAGTGCTTTGGTGGTTACTTCATACATAGTCATGTGAATAGGACTGCAAGGAAGCAAGATGATGAGCACTTCAGGAAAATGTTCTCTTTGATTATTTCCCCAATTTCCTGCCTTATCAAGTTGATAATATCATAATATATTGGTCTCTTTCAACATCATGAAACTTTTAGGTGTCCTCAATATTAGCTTAAGGCTCAATTCATATGTCACCTTGAATGTGGTCCAAAACGTGCTCCAGTGACTAACTGAAAATAACTAGCTGTAACAGTCCTGCTGTAGGCTATGTTGTTCTACGACATCTGGTCTTAGGTTGGCATGATGAAGTCAGTTTGCAGAAATTAGCGTCCTTGCTATTGGCGTTAGTTTAATGACTACATTGTATACATGATTAACTGTGTTTTTCAAACAGGCTTGCCCAAAGAATTGTGCAAGGGGATGTCCCTCAAGCATTGATGAACCGTAAGGTATGTGCTACATCTTGATCAAATACCACATCCTTTTTATTATGCTATATTATCTGATTTTTTTGGGGCTGGGGGATGTGGTGGGGGTTGTTAGAGTCACAATGTTGCTACTCTACCCTGGCTGGTGATGAAAATGTGGATGCTGATCAATCCATTTTTTTATTACAGCTGATATCACTTGACATGGGTGCACTCATAGCTGGGGCCAAATATCGGGGAGAATTTGAGGATAGACTGAAGGCTGTACTTAGGGAAGTAACAGAATCAGAAGGCCAAATTATCCTCTTCATTGATGAGATTCACACAGTTGTAGGGGCAGGTAATATCTTTGTTCAGTTTCTAGTTTTGTAGGTTGATTATTGAATATCTGCTAAGCTGGCTTAAATTCTGATAGGCTTTTTTCTGTTTGTTTCTGTGTTTATTGTAAGTGCATATTTCAGTTTATAAAAGTTTATCCCTTCCAGTTGATTGGAGATAATTGTTTTTATTTGAAATCTTGTATTCCTCTCCAGATGAAATTCTAAGGTAGATAGATCTATGATACTTAATTCCTTTTCTCTGGAAATGATCTCCATTTCAGGTGCCACAAATGGAGCAATGGACGCAGGCAATCTTCTGAAACCTATGCTTGGTCGAGGAGAATTGCGATGTATTGGGGCAACAACACTGGATGAGTATCGTAAATATATTGAGAAAGATCCAGCCCTGGAACGTCGTTTCCAGCAAGTGTATGTGGATCAACCATCAGTAGAAGATACAATTTCTATACTCAGGGGACTGCGTGAGAGATATGAGCTGCATCATGGAGTCCGTATTTCTGACAGTGCACTTGTGGAAGCTGCAATCTTGTCTGACCGTTATATCAGTGGCCGGTTTTTACCTGACAAAGGTAATATATGAGCACATAACTGGGATCTTTTAGGGACACTCAATCAAGTTGCAACCTGAGATTGTAAAATAGCATTTATTGATAGGTTGTCATGGCAAGAGTTGGATTCATTTGTGATGTTCTGATAGCCAATTTAACCATCTCTATGATTTCTATTACCTTTTTAATTTCTGACATCACTTTTGAGTATTAATGTGCTTCCAAATTGCAGCTATTGACCTAGTTGATGAAGCAGCTGCTAAATTGAAAATGGAAATCACTTCAAAGCCAACTGCCCTTGATGAGATTAATCGTTCAGTGCTAAAGCTGGAGATGGAGAGGCTGTCTCTCACAAATGATACTGACAAAGCTTCAAGAGATAGGCTGAGCCGCCTTGAGGCTGAGTTGTCCCTCTTAAAGGAGAAACAGGCTGAGCTGACTGAGCAATGGGAGCATGAGAAGACTGTCATGACACGCATTCAGTCAATCAAGGAAGAGGTATGCAAATGTTTTCTGGAAATTTCTTCTGAAAGCTTTGTTTGCTGCCAGCATATAATTTGACATTTTATTATTGGCAAGCATGAAGACTGCTTCTTTGAATGGTCCCAGATTTTTTTCCCAACTCATATCAATCTAGAAGCTGATGACGGGGCTGACCTTCATTTTAAATCAATTGAAGACAAAAGGAAATCTTCCCGAATAAGAAAATCATTTGAAAAGTTAAAGTAATTATTAATTGTATGATGTAGTAGACTACTAACTGTTTCATCTATACAGATTGACAGGGTTAATCTTGAGATCCAGCAGGCTGAGCGGGAGTATGATCTCAATCGTGCTGCTGAGCTGAAGTATGGAAGTTTGAACTCCTTGCAGCGTCAACTTGCTGATGCAGAAAAAGAATTAGATGAGTACATAAAATCCGGAAAATCCATGCTGAGAGAAGAAGTTACAGGAAATGATATTGCTGAAGTAGTTAGTAAATGGACTGGTATACCAGTTTCGAAGCTTCAACAATCAGAGAGGGAGAAACTATTACATTTGGAGGAAGAGTTGCATAAACGCGTTGTGGGTCAAGATCCTGCAGTTAGATCTGTGGCTGAGGCCATTCAGCGATCTCGAGCTGGTCTCTCAGATCCCCGTCGCCCAATAGCCAGTTTCATGTTTATGGGTCCCACTGGTGTAGGGAAAACAGAGCTTGCTAAAGCACTTGCATCCTACTTGTTTAATACAGAAGAAGCCCTTGTACGCATCGATATGAGTGAGTATATGGAAAAACATGCAGTTTCTAGGCTTATAGGTGCTCCACCTGGTTATGTGGGGTATGAAGAAGGAGGACAGCTGACCGAGATAGTTCGCAGGAGGCCATATGCTGTAATTCTTTTTGATGAGATAGAGAAAGCTCATGGTGATGTATTTAATGTTTTCCTTCAAATTTTGGATGATGGGAGAGTTACCGATTCCCAGGGTCGCACTGTAAGCTTCACCAACACTGTCATTATTATGACCTCAAATGTGGGTTCACAGTACATTCTTAATTCAGATGAAGACACACCAAAGGATATAGCTTATGAAACTATTAAGCAGAGGGTGATGGAGGCTGCAAGAGCAGTCTTTCGTCCTGAATTTATGAACCGGGTTGATGAGTATATAGTTTTCCAGCCTTTGGACCGTGAACAGATAAACACTATTGTGAAATTACAGGTAAGTTCCATCTGACTTTTCCTTGTCTTGATTGCTTGCACGTGCATTTCCATGATGTGTATTCTATCATAATCAAAAGAGGGATTCTGAATTCTCAACCATGTCATATCCCATGTAGGATGTGATAAGAACGATAATTATTGTTTATTGTTTAATTATAATAATAATCCATAAAAAATATGACAATAATAAATAAATAATAACATATAACTACAGTTATTCTGTGATGCTGGTCTTGATTTTTAAATGGTCTTTATCATAATGGAGACGGTAGTTTTGTTGGTCATCCTTGAATCTGGTGTTGGTTGGTTTAAGTTGTTTCCCCTAGATTAGATTTTGATTCAGCGAGCCACCAAGTTGCTCTTTATTGATTTTTTTAAAATGACCAATGTACAGTTTTTAGGTAGGACTCAGAATAGGTCTCTATTCTATTTCAACAGGGAATTAATCCTTATTACAAGCTCATGTTGTATCTCTGTGGTATCTGCTTGTATGGTTTGTCACTCCCTTACATTTTCTGTGTTTGTTTTACAGTTGGAACGTGTGCAAAAGAGGATTGCAGATAGGAAAATAAAACTTCAGATGACAGATGGTGCTGTTCAGCTTCTTGGTAGTCTTGGTTATGATCCAAACTATGGTGCTAGACCAGTCAAAAGAGTGATTCAGCAAAATGTAGAAAATGAACTTGCCAAGGGCATCTTGAGAGGGAAGTTCAAGGATGAGGATGCTATTTTAGTAGACACAGAGCTCACAGCGTTTGCAAATGGCCAGCTCCCCAAGCAAAAGCTAGTCTTCAGAAGACTCGATCGTGATTCAGAAACTCAGGCAACTGATAGCGAAGAAGCTTTATCACAGACTGTCTGAGAGTTGTACTTAAGTTTTACCTAAATACTATAGGTTTTACACAATTTTGTGCAGGGAATTAATACCTTAGCTCACACTCGAATCTCTCACATTGTATATGGCTTTTAACTTTTATGTCACAAGTTATCCTATTATTCTTATACAGTGTGTCCTTACAAGTAAGCATGCCACAGTGTTTACATTGCTACCCAAATCCATTCTGGATCAATTGTCCTTGCTCCAAGATGAGAAGTGGTATCTAGGAGAAAGTGGTGCCAGTGGAAGATTTGATATTCTCTTGGGCTAATCTAATTTCCACTGGGTCACTGGAATTCCATTGGCTTTTGGGCATATATTGCAGTTAAGTAATAGGTGAAAGGCAGGAGCTGAAATTAAACATTAGTAAGTCATCCTTTTCGTTTAGAAACTGATGGACTTGTATGACTCATAAGGCATGTCTGAAATGAACAAGACACCTATATCCATCATAAATCCTATTTCCTTTTGGGACTTGTGACTTCTGCATCAGCGTATATTACATAAAACAACCGGACATAACAGAAAACCAGTTACCCTCTGTATTTGGCCCTGAGGTCATGTAAGTATGACATATATCTCGTGTACATGTGAGGCCAACAGCCTATAAATTGGGGGCCTCCTCCTATGTTCGGACACGCCTTGGATTTGCATTTATGCCCTCCCTGTACGCTGAAGCACACATAAAAGGGTTGTCTCTGTTTTGCATATTCTCAGAGGACTATCATTTATCAACAAAGGAGCTCATTTCAGTAGAGATAATTAACAAGCATGATAAAACAAGTAATTGATTTGTAAAGGCAAATATGAACCTGCTAATTTGTGAAATTATGTAACAACCCATCACTTTCTGCTATACATGCACATTCGTACCTACAAGACACAGGGAGACATCTGGATACAACTTGATGGCCAGATAACTCTTCCCTTCACTCTGTCATTTTTAGCTTTTAAGTTAGCCACAAATAGTAGTTTAATCATCTAGAATGGTAGGACGACCTCTTCACTTTGAATTGATCTTTTCGTAAGTTCTGAAGCATGAACGCCCTTGTTTTGCCATCAGGTTTGAGACCATTCTTTCGCATTCTCATGTATAGTTTCTTTGCTGATTCCACCTTGCCTTTTAAACACATTCCATGAATAACAGCATTATAAAGAGATACATTTTCTGGAACTCTCTGCAAATGGAAAAGAAAAAAAGTTAAATGTCAATATCTAGAAACTCAAGGGAGTGCAAAAATCAAAGTCCACTAGCATTTTCCATAGGAAGATGAGAAGACTAATCAAAACCATTCAGTCTCGTGGATATTGAATAAAAGTCGAACATGATACTAAGGACAAGTAAATTTCAAAGCATTTTGATAATTTAAACCTTCCCAAAATGGAACCTTCTTGACCATGCAAACCTTCTCGCATTAGAACCCATTTTGGACTATGCAATTTCATAACATCTTTTATTCCATTGGTCAGGCATCTGGAATCTATATACACAATAAAATTCTTGAATTTCTATTCAACTCCAATCAGTGAGGCCTTATATTTGATTACCAGTACAACAACAATAATAAACTATGCCTTCCCAATGCTTTGAGGGTTGGTCAGTGGCTTATATCAGGGGAAAAATATTTTAGTTTCAGTACACACTCTTGATGGTGTTAAGCATTTTACCACCAAAAATACTTTCTACTAAAAAATCTTCTATAAAAAAATTAACCATTGAATATAACTTCCAGTCAATAGCATTCTTCTAATGGAATTCAAAACTCTAAATTTAGTAAAAAGTTCATTGAAGAGTAGCTCTCAATGAAGATGAGCTAAATTCAGTCAAAGAGCCAAACATTCTTTTAGAGCAGGTTAAAAATGGAAACTTACATTTAGAATTTCCTCTACTTCAGCCCAAAGAGATCCCCAAATGCAGCTTCTTATAAGTGACAAATGAGTAAATGTGTCTGGAACACACTTCTGATGAATCATGTGGTCATAAACTTGCAATGCAACTTTAGGTTTCCTGGCAGTCTCACAAGCACTGATGACAAGATTATAGGATGCAGTGGCAACCAACAATCCAGAGGCTTCCATTTGCCATAAAAGCTGCAAGGCCCTATCCCACAAACCAAGCTTCTGGCATGACATTAAAGCAGTGTTGTACAGATGTACATTTACTAGTGAGCTCTGTTTCCTTATTCTCTCAAAGAGGTCGAGAGCATCAGCATATTGATTTGCCCTATACAAAGCACCAAGCAGTGAATTCCATGTGAAAGCATCTGGTGTATGACCCAAGGATTTCATAATATCAAAGATTTTAAAAGCTAATCTGACCTCTCCAGCTTTTCCAAGTGAATTAATTAACGCATTGCATGCTACTGGATTTGGCTTCAATCCATCATTCAAAATTTTCTGAAAGATGGATAATGCCAAATCCCATTTTTCTTCCTTTGTGCATGCACTAATCATGGCATGCATTGTATCATCCCGGGGTTCCAATCCATTTCGAATCATCTCATTATAAGCATCAAGCGCCAATTCATTCTGATTGCAACGAACAAAAATGCTAACTAGCAGGGAATAAGTGACTTGTGTTCCACTATAGCCATTTTGCTGGATTCTTCTCCATAGCCTCTCAGTTTCAACCCAATTGTTCAATCTTCCACAGATAGATAATGCTGTATTATAAACAATCACATCAAAACGTTTCTTCTGTTCATGATCCCCTTCCAGTTCTGCAAACATAGCAAGGGCTGCATCACAACCCTGAGTATCTGCAATGGCTTTCAGTATTAAGCTATTAGTATGCCCAGTAATAAGTTCATTTGTCTTGATAAACTCGAAAGTTCTCAAGGCATCATCAAGCCGTCCATTTCTTAGCAGGCAAGAAAGAAGAGAATTACATGCATGAGCGTTGGGTTGAAGACCTGACAACTTCATTGATCTACACAACTCCAATGCACTTCTGACCTTGTTGGACCTACTAAGCATCAATACTCTTCTTGATAATTCCTCTTCGTTCCTTTCTTCCAAAAAGTGTACCTTACTATCATGTACAGTGTCCTTCCCATTTGAACTTATCGCAGGCTGACCAGTACTTGTGTGCTCAAAATCCAAACTTTCATCAACCACCAAATTTCCCCAAGGAGGCAAATTTTGACCCAAAGAATCCAACTCAAATTCTTCCTTCCCTTTTTGGATCAAACTATTTTCCTCATCATCTTCACAATCCATCTCAGATTCAATACTGGCAACCATCTTTGGTACTATCCTAGATGACCCGAACAGAAAATTCAACGGTGACATTTTCTTTCGAAAATGACCAAACCAAGCACATTGATGAACGGGCATCCAAACCATGTTTCGCCTACATTGTACCACATGCCTTCTATAAGCCTTCATAACCGAACCAACAAAAAAGCAGCCACGAAAACGCCTAGAACAGACACCATTTCTGCCTCTACTTTGGCTACATGACTGATACCGGCATCCAAGCCCATTTGATATTATGGAAAATGAAGCTGAATTCCTCAACAATTCTCCCATAACTTTAGACTAAAGAATAGCAATAAACTGACCAAATAACAAAAACTTCACCTCAAAATTCAAACTATCTGAGCAAAAGCCCAACTTTAAGAGCATGAGTGAACCAATTGTAAGATAAACTTTAAGCAAAACTATTTAAGCACAAGACCCTTACTAGTTCTTCAAGAAAGAATATTAATTTGGCACACCCCATAAAAAAAATTTTGAACTTTTAGGCTTACATAAGCAAATAGAACAGAACCAGTTCAGGTTAGGACTTTTCAAGAAGGCTCAGAGAAACTGACCCTTTTTTCTTCAGAAAGAAGATGACTTGAATGAAGCAAAGAGCAAAGAGCAAAGAGGGTCCAAAGATGCTACTGACTAGTGCGAGATGGAAGAAACTTCACTTTGTTTACGTCAAGATAACACTTTTGTCGAAGGGCTCCCAAAACGCACCGTTTTAAAGGCTCTTTTTTAACTCTAATGTGCGCTAGTGCCACTCTCCCAGTAGAGAATACTGAGAAGTGAGAAGAGTTCACTCTGTAAAGAATTGAAGAAATGGGTGAATTTTATTCTTCTTTCTATTTTTCTTTGCAAAATGTTCCCTTTTTATTGTTTTATGTCTCTTGTTCTTACTTGTTTTTGGTATTGATTTTTCTTTTGGGGAATTGAATGGTTTTGAAGAAGAAGGAAAAGAAGCGGGAGAAGAATCAAAAGAAGTGAGAGTTGGGGAAGTGAAGGAAGGAGTGGCATCAATAGCGTTATTGCCAAGTGGGTCCCTCTCAGGCCATTTCATTCAGCTTCCTCAATCTATCTGCTATGGTCTTCATGGCACTGGTACTATTTTTACCTTTTTTTTAACCTTTTAATTTGCTAGTAACTGGGTTGTTTTCGTTTTTCTTTTTTTTTCCCATTAATTTCATGTGTAAATCAGTTCTTTCGTATGTATATATAACAAATGGTTCGTGTGATTCCACCGATGGAAAAATAAGAGGGTCTCAGCCTATGATCAATTTGTGGAAAGTTGAGTGTCTTGCCCCTAAATTGCTTGTTTAGTACTTCTATTTCCTTAGGTTTGATGAAGTTTTGGTCTTAGTAACACAAATGTCTATTAGCTACTTAAGTGTTATGAATGGTAACTGCTGCTGGATTGCTTTACATTCATACAGATAATTGACTTGTAATCGTGAATGGCACAAAGTAATGCAGAAAATGGCATGTAAAAACCAGTATCTAGAAAGAGTGTAAATTTAATTTTCTAGAGCCATTCAATATGTTGGATAACTGAAGGTTGCTTATGATGTTGTGTATTTCAATCTTTTCTTTGGAGAATATATAAGCCTAGGAAAATGTACTAGAAGTAGTGGATCTTCGTATATTGGACATCATTGAGTAAATTTCTCTTCCTTAAAAACTTTCTCTGAATTGTTTTGTTTTGGGTTCTTTTATGCATTCTCTCTCTCTCTTCATGGTTAAAGAGTTGGCTTGTGAGATGGAGTGCAGCAGGGGTGAGGATTACCGCTTGATCAAGCTCACAATCATTGACTACAGTGTATGAGTCGTATGCCTTAAGTTTCTTTCCCTTCGATTACAGTAGTACTAATTATCTCCCATCAAATGTCCATATTTTATAAAAAAATAATATTTCTCTTTTTTTTTATTCTTATTATCTGACAGGGTAAGAAAGAGCACGCTGTCATAGTGGAGTGTAGAGGGCATGATGCTGCTCGGTTCCATAACATTGACCATGCTCATGGGTAAACCATCTTTGGATCAATTTGCTAAACCTTAAAACACACTGTTCTTTATCAATTATTCATGTTTAATGTCATAAATGTGGCATCTTTTACCTCCATATGGCTTGCCTCTTAACCTGTAGACATATTGTCTTGTTATTTTTTGAAAATGCTTACCAATAAGCTTGTATGTGCTTAATATTTAAAGGGGTGGCGGAGTTAGAGAACTTCAAGAAAGACGTCGGCTATAAACTTCACCCTTCAAAGAACCATAAACATGGAAATTTGAATTTTAGATGGTTTCTACTGTCACTTTGGGCTGAATTACATTAATGTATTACAGTCAGATCCTGATACACCTTTCTGTTCAAACCAACTCTCTCTGCAATGAGTCATTGCACATGGCTAACAAATGGCATCTCTTGTTGAACTGCATTTTGAAACAGTTGGGAGAAGGATGTTGTGGATATGGTTGAACTAAAGGAAGGGAAGAAAGAGATTTGATCTCATTTTGAGTGAGACACTGAAATCTGACAAAGCAGCTGAAACCATATAAAGCAGTTCATGCTAAATTATCTGGGCTAGATGCTGTTGGTATGTAATCAAACCGTTCTTTTTTGCCTTATTTCAATTACCAAAAATGAAGAAATTCTTGTTGACTATGCAGCAGTTTGGCTCCTTCCATCTGGCAATATGTTTTAGATGCATGGCAATTTCAATTTTTTCATGACCTCAGCTAATTAACTTTTTATTTTCATTCTTCCTATGGTCCAAAGTCTAGCTGGAATGACTCTTGTAGCTTGTTTCTTATCTTTGAGGTCTAATCTCATGTCTGCCTAACCTGTAACCGTTGCTAAACCCCTAACTGGAGTTGTGAATCTTTGCAGTAGTATTAAGGAGGATGAGCATATCAGGGTTGGACTTTGAGCAGAAGCAGCAGACTCTAAGTAGGATTTATCAGCTGCTTAAGATGTATACCCTAGTAATTTGATTTGCCAGAAGATGGACATATGGAAGCAATCTAATATATAGTTTTTTGTAGTGGTGAATATTTGATATCTTTCTGCCGTCTATGAGATGAATCAATGAGTGAATATTCAACATTTCACTGCCATTAACCCTGGATCCAACTCCCAAGTCATGGCTAGTTGAAGACATGAAATGGATTCTATTCGGAGCATCTAGTTTTCTTGTAAGATGATTGTTAAGTTAGTGCTTCACAGATGTAATAAGTGCTACAAACACTCAACGTGGTAAGAACCCTGCAAGAAGCAAGATTGCCATGCCGTAGCACGATGGCATGATGAAAATATCAACATAGGTACTGAAAGCCCATTACAATCAGAATTCAGGCGCTAAAGGACAGTGACCATGGTAGAGTGTGCACCAAACCAATGCGAAATTAATTTTGGTAGGGTATTTGAACGCTCAGTCTTCCATGTAGGTGATATTCAATTACAAAGTAATACGTAGTGCATGGGTGAAAGCAATAGTTGAAGATCCAAATTGGCATTTACAATGGATGGAAGACTACTCAAGTTCTTTGTGTCTCTGGTTAAGGCTACACAATAATTATAGTTCTTTCTTCCTTCCCCTTCTTGATACAGACGAAATATGATCCATTCCCAAGGTCTACACAAGACAACCTTCCACATCAGGATGAAATTTTGGGGAGAAAGCAAGTAAACAGAGAAGGGAATGAAGTACTTTAACCAACAACTTCAAGAATTATTGAAGATACCAATCAGCTATTCAAACACATATAGGCATACATTAATGTACAAAGTGCACGGTATACATGTTCACAATGACCACTGTTAACCAACGGGCAATTGACAAGCAAATGGTTAGCAATAGCTTCTAACCCTTTTAGAAAACAATTGGCAGGCTAGGGGCTAGACAAAGCAGCAAAACATCAGAGAATAAAGGCCAAGTTATGATGGTAGATTTCAGGTCCTGAGCAAGTTGGTACAGCCCATCTAGTCTCCATTCTATCTATTTTGATCCACCAGGAGATCAATCCACACATGAGATGATAAGCAAACTGCAAGGAACATGATACATCCAGTCAAGATATAGGCATATTTTGTCAGCAAAGAACTCGCACAAACTCCCAAACAGGAGTTAATTGCCCTACACCATATGCATGCCGGTTATATCAGAATGGTACTTTAGTCTTCAGCCATTTAATTTTAATAAAAACCAAGTTCAATACTAAGCATACAAATTTGCCCCAAGGAAACAAAAGTGTTAAGAAAGAAAACAAATTTTACATCTTGATTTGCTGGAGGAAGAAAGGCCCGTATGGTTCTTGACTTACTGTATATATGGACTGCAAATTTTATTTGCTCCAAACTCTCTCTCTCACGTTCAAAAAACAAAAAGATGCAGGCAGGATGACTAGGGGAAGACATGCCTCATGTCAGCACCCAAGTTTTACAACTATCATTAACTCTTTTTGTATGATCATATAATTTGCACATGAATGAACCATAAACAATCAATTTCAATTCTTTCAAAAAAGTTTTAACTCTATTCTTCTTCGATAGAATATGAATGCTTGATGTGATAGATTACCTGGCTTGCATTCCAACTATCATTCAGATTCAGATGCCTCTTCAGAATCAGACAAGGGTAAAAGGGTGCAGATGCCAAGCATATGTCCGTTTAGGCACACATAATACTCGATGCAATCCTCATAAGCACCCAACCTACAGCTTGCACTCTGTGGTACCATATTTGCTTGCAGCATGTTCCACAATTTTGCCTTACAATAAGGACACACTGCCGTTGGATGAAACTGGGCACCTCTGTCAATCAACATTTTCCGAACCTTTGAAACCAAGAATGACTTGAAAATTCCTCGGAAAAATCCCACATCACCCTCATCCCCTTGGTCTAGATGTTCACAAGGGTCAGATACATACAAAACATCTGTTCTGCATTGTGGTAAAAGGAAGCTTTTGCCTGAGGTCCTAGAGAACCTGGTCCTGTAAACAAAATGGCCAGGGATTTGAATGCTATTGAACAAGCCACCAGTACTACATCCTGAACAATAAATAAGCAGCTTTCCAAGTGCTCTCCAGTTCCCATCAACGCTGTGACTTCCACTAGACTGAAGATCAAGCATCATCTTTGGGGCCCTTGTTTTGCAGAACTCCTTCCACAGTACTCTCTTGGCAAGATCATCAAACCACTTGCATATGCATGAAAGAGTAGCAATCAACTTAGGGTTCCAGTTCAGATGTTGAAACACTAGGAATATCACATCTTCACTTAGATGACCTTTTGTGCATTGACAACTAGACGAGTGTATGCAACGATATTGCTTTGTTAGAATCATTGTCTCCACTCAATAAGAGAAAAAGAAACAATGATCACATGTCCTGGTCGTACAAGCCAACAAAAGATCATGATTAGTCCCAACATATTAGTATCTCGAATATCTAGTTTCTGAACCAGAAAGCTAGACATAAGCAAAAATTCTGAAAGGCTTACTATGAATTAAGATTCCTCAATACAATGGTTTAGAAGCTGGAAAACCATTTCCCTCTTCAAAGCGAAGGAGAGAGTGAAAAAAGAAAAGAAGTGTCGCCATAAATGACTTCAAAACTAACAGCATAAAGTCTACTTTATTTCCTTGGGCTAAAATAAAGCAAAGAAGAGCTAAGGCTTCATAGCAAACTCACACCTTAAGACATTCTAGCCAGGCTGCACAGGCAGCAATTCCCAGGAAACTCAGCAGAGTGGGTACCGCTCCCAATTCTCAATTAAAATCCAGATTATGGTTTCTCATCGAGAAATGTGACAATTGGATGCTCCAATTATAACTCTAAACCTGTTGGATGATCCAATAGCAGAAAATGTACTTAAGGTGCTAGCTCGAGGTCCAATCAAAGAGATGGAAGGAGGGGGAAAACCTAGAACAGAGAAATTAAAGTACCATGTAAGAATTGGGTTTTGGACAATGCATTGCAATGGAGACTCACACTTTCCACGGGACACTAGAATTCCCATCTCAACTTCAACATCCATCAATCACAACCTTTAAATATCTTTCCATCTTGGTAAAAGAACTTGGTCCACCTTTTTCATAGTAACTTCTTTTTCTTCTCAATGAAACTTAACTTAGACTCTTAGATCAAACAACAATAAAAAAGCTTAATTTATTCTACCAATGCATGCCATTAACGTGTTAAAGCTCAGATCCAAAAGAAACCCATTTTATAAATGCAACTCAAATGCTTAATCCAAACAAAACCCACTTCACTTCTTCACTAAATTCAACAAAAATCCACACTATCAAATTAAGAAAAAGAAAAACCCAAAAACCCTAAACCCATTAAAAATTAACTAAAAGATAACCAAATAGAGGGGGGAAAAGTTACAAGACCAAAGCCAAAGCTCTCACCTTAAGCTTGCAGAACCTTCCTTCGCATAGTCTTTAGACTTTTAAAGATAGACCCAAATCTGCAAACAACAAAGAAAATGAACAAAAAGATTAGGGTTTTCTTGCATGTGGTAAAAATACAACCCCCCCAAAAAATAAACCAGTGAAATAAAGTCTTTAAAATAAAAAAAAATCACAAATAAAAAATTACATGAGGAATTCAATCTGCGTTTTAACATTTGTAGAAGGGTATTTTGGTCAAACAAATTTTCTTTTTTTGTCACTGAGAAACCCCCAAGGAAAGCAAATTGCAGAGAAACGGTGGTGAGAAAAGAGAAAGCGAAGAATGAAGCTTTGGGGTTCCACACAGAAGAAAGAAGGGAATATTGAATATTTCCAGAAAGATTAATCCTACGATGTGGTATTTTTCTTACATCAACTACTAATTAGATCAATCCATGTGGAAATTAGGAAATGTAAATAGTTTTTGCAAAACCACATTTTATTACGCGGCGTTAATTCATTGGACGTGATTAAAATGATGGAGACTGTCAAGTTCGGAGATTTTGGCCCTTAGTTTTTACTGTTAGTTGTTTAAAATTTTGTGTCGGGGCCTGAAAAGTTAAAATGCTGTAGTATACTGTCCTCAGAAAGATTCTAAAACCCTCACGTTTTGCCACGTGGAAACATCGAATTTTTTGGAATTTAGTTTGTTGATTTTTGCTTAGGTGGCATCTCCTCATTGGCAGTTCTATTTCTCTATTGTCCTAACTCTGACGAGGGTTTTGCCACTTGAGGCTTTTTTTTTTTTTTAATTTTTCTTAATTTTAAAAAAAAAAGCAATTTATGGTATTCAAGTTGATTGAATTATCCTTACCAAATATAACGTCATCTTTTGTTTCTTCTCACAATGTTGGTCTAATTCTTTGTTTTTTAGTTCAATAAAAAGATAATGTCTTTGTCATTCTGGAGATATTTTAGTTTAATAATATTTAATCTTAAATTCTTAATACCCATCATTCATTATCAATGTATCAGCAATAATGTACAATTTTGCTTTTCTTTTATATATCTTTATCTTCCAAATATATGTATATATTTAAAAAGTTAAAAAATATATTACAACAAGTTTTATTAAAATAAAAAATTCATGTGCCACATAGATATTAGGAATAATCTCCTTTCGACAACATTGAGGTTTAAGATAGTTAATTCATAAAACTTGAATTCAAAATAATTTACGATAAATAATCGATCTTATTGATTAAATCAATTTACGATAAAAGCAGTGGAGTAAGTCACATGATTCCGAATAAGCAAAATTGATATTGCTTCATAATATTTATATATTTTAAATAGGATAAATTTTACTTAAATTTTTTGTAGTTTTAACTTTTTATATAACATTCTGTTTTTTTTTTGTCAATAAGCACATTATAGATATATATTTTTTCTCTAATTAGTATTTTGTAGATTTTTTTGAATTCAAAATTAACTTATTTGTTCAGATTAAAGGGTATTTGTATAATTTTACTAAATAGAATTAACAATCTAACATTTTGTGAGAATAAAAATTAATCACAAGATGTAAATTTGACAAAAAAAGATTATCCATAGGATACTAATTGGAAAAAACCCACATAATATCATGTCAAAAAAATTGAAACCGTGAAAGATGTAGGTGAAGTACATCTTTCTAAAAACTTCATGCATTTAGAATAAATTATGAGGGCGTTTGGTATGGTGTAAGTGAGAGACATTCTTTGCAGTTTAAATGGTTACAATTACTTAGTAACATTTGGTTGGCAAAAAGAAAAAAAAGCGTGCTTACAATTGTAATCACATTATAATAAAAGAAGGGAATATAGCTTTCCCTACACAAAGAGAAAGTTACATATTTTTTCTTTCCCAAATTGTCTATCTCACTCGACCATCTTAACCTTTCGATCTTTCTTTTCTCCTTCCTGCTTTCTTCTCCTTCTTCTCACTATCCACAGGAAGGTGGCCCGTCATCAGCACTTTTGAGTCAAATTTCACCACTAAATCTGAAAAACGGGAGAGATTAAGACTTTGGGTTTTATGAAACCTTAATTCAAATTTTTAAAAAATTTGAAAGTATTTTGAGAAAAATTTATGCTTTTAATGTAGAAAATTGAGAGAGAAGCATTTAAATGGTTTAAAATCGAGAAAATTTACTAAGGAATTGAGAGGATTTGAGAGGGAAAGATATTTGGTGTAACAATATGAGAGCAAAAAAGCATCAGAAACGCTTAAAATTAAATATCTATCAATAGATGAGAACATCCATTGATAGATTACATTCAAACTTTTGATAGCGGTTATTTATCTATCAATAGATAATATGATGTATGAATAGAATTTTCTATCTATTAATAAATTTGTCTTTGACTAATGTTTTTATTTTTAATTTTTATAAGTTTAAAGTGAAAATAAATATTTAGTAATTTTACATATTTTAATTTTTAAATAATTAATATAAAAAATATTATGTTATTATTTATTATTTTAATTGCTTAAAGTTGAAAAGTCAAATTTTGTATTAAAATTATAAATTTATTCAACTTATATGTTTTTTATTAATAAAAGTAATTTTGTCAATTTACATTACATTCTCAATAAAATATTTACAAATCAAACACTACAATATAATCTTTTCGACAATCACATTCCCTACAATTATCACTTTCCCTTATTATACAAAGTTATATTCTCAACAATTATATACCTAACAATTACATTTCTAGCAATATATTAAATGCAGCCTATAAGTTAATAAAATTTTAAAACCTTGCAATTTGCAAATAGCATTTTTATAATCTAAGGTGTGAGTTGAAAAAAATTATATCTAGAAACAGAAGTAATAAAGAAAAAAAGTGTCAATTTTTTGAAAAATTGATCATTGTTTTAGGTTAGGTTGGATTTTCCACTAGTTTGGTCCAACCAAGTGTTAATTTTTTTTCCCTACTTTTAGTTTGGTTCATATAAACTATATTCTACTTTTAGTATACAAAAATTCATGTTATTTATATCATCTATGATGGATACAAATTTAATTTGTTCAAAAGTAATGATTATTGAAAATATTAATTAATTAATTAAAATCAATAAAATTATATAAAAAAACCAAAAAAACAATGACATGACTATTAAGTGGGGACCTAGTATGTGCAGAAAACCTAATCTTATGGTCCACTAAAGTGGAAAGTCCAAATTGCTTTGGGACCATTACATGAATCCAATGATTCAAACAGACTACGTGGGCCCACGAGGAAATTTGGCCTCCTCCTGTCTTTTTATTGCTTTGACTATCTTACAAGGGTTGCCTTGCCTTCAGATAAGTTTGTTCTTCATCCCCAGTTAATATATTTCTCCTAGTAGGAAGGATTTAGGTAAATTTTTGCTTGGTGCTGTACTGGGAAATGATGTCTTCCCTGTCATTGTAACAGTTCCTTTTCAAGTATTAGCTTCTTCTTGGCTGGACAATCTTTGTTTTAGCTTCAGAAGATAATACTTTTCCCAACTTTGCAGATGTTTTCTAGACTATATAAATGAAGCTGCAGTGTTCTATTCCAAGCCAGTAGTACCAGTTTACCTGAGTCTCCAGGAAAAATAGAAAGAAGCAAGAACAAAGTAGAGCTTTTCTTCATGAATTCAAAATTGCAGGAGTAGAAGGTGAAGCAAGGAAAAGGAAAAGACAAATACCAAGTCTAATATGAAACCAAATTTTCTTCAAGGCAAATTAATATACATCCATTCCTAAGAAGGGCAGTACTTGAATAGTCCTAGAACTTGAATTCACAACACCAATCATTACATCTTTATTCCCCTAGAATGTAGATAAACAAAACAAGGACAGCCTGTGCATGTGATATGGCAGGGTCACTTTTGTATTAAGAAGATCAAGAATCATAGTATTTCTGATGAGTTAAAAAGATTATACCCCCAATCCATTGAGAGAATGATTGCTTTTACATGTCGATCAACAAAACGAGTAAACAATGTATCATCAAGATTTTTGGAAATCCTTGCCATCAAAATGGCAACCATTTTCCTACTAAAACTCTCCTTAATCTGACACCAGTCCAATCTCCCAGGTTTTATGTTTCAGTAAAATAACTCACAATGATCTTTGCATGACAGAACAATTGCTCTCAACCATTTATAGAGCACATGATTCATCAATTTGTTCTCTCCAAGTGAATCTATTATTTTACAGTCGCTATAGAATGAGACCTCTTTCAGGCAATCTGTTTCTGATTTAGTGTCACAAAGTTGGTGATTTAGCTCCAGAAAGGACCTGATTTGCTACACCACCCATTTGAGGAACTATGGGGCATGCCAATTAAATTAGCAGATGGAAAACTAACATCAGATAGCACATTCTTGTACTCTGTTTTTCCTGGGTCCATACTAATATTTTGGATACCAGTCATCAGATCCCGCTCTTTCCACCACAGAGCTACATTTGTTAACATAATGTAATGTAAATATTGTCTTTACCCGGCCTCATGCAGTTATGAGGACACATTGACAAATAATACTGTACAAAAAAGGGACATTTTTTCTGGTTTAACATCAAGCAAAATGAGGAGTGCAAAGAAGGGCTTAATGCCAAAAGCAACATATAAAGGTATTCAAGACATTGCATAACCAAAAAGATGATCATTCTGCAGTTGGTCTCTTATGCGAACACATTTCAAATCCATGCTTAAAAGACAGAAACAACCAACAATGAACAAAAAAAGATATGATAAACCAACCAAAATGGAATCAGTTAGGATATTTTGAAGGAAAAGCACCACCAAATGAACCACAAAAAAAAAAGATACAACTAAAAAAATTCTCAGTTATCAAGCTTTTATTTTACCTCTGAGAAGCACAGAAAGTCATGAGTATATTGTTTTATTCACATGATACAAATCAATCATAGTATAATCTCCAAAAACAAAAAGAAGCATACCCTTTGCACAACCGTATGTGAAGCATGTAAAGATCAGTACACATGGGATAAACCATTCAAATCAAGGTCCAGGATCTGTACAGTCAAAAAGGTGTAATCTACACTTCCGCAGCATTGCAAGCTTGGTGTTGCCTCTCAGAAGCTTAGGTTTATTCTCCTACCCTTCTCCTACAAACCAATTGTTAATAGAGAATTCATCCCAACTCAAGTGACAGTGTTTGCTGAAGGTTTGGTGTCTTGGAGGGAGATAACAGTTTCAAAAGCACCAACCAAGGCCTTAACCTTACTTTTTCGGGTTTCAACAAGTCTACTAGCAGTTTCTTCGATGACGTTGTTGAACAAACCCTTGTCATCTTTCTTCCCCTGCATATCCTGGTGTCTCAAAACAACCTTTTCCCCACTAGGTTTGCCGTCATTTTTGTCACCATCAACTCCTCTCCTC